CTGCACCCCCTCCCCATTCTGGTGTGTCCCCAAGGGCCCCCTCCCTTGAGAGAAAAATAGGGTTCACCCATTGACCACCGGCACCCCCAAGCCAGCCCTATCTCACCAGCAAGCATTCAAGTCACTCCCTTGTCCTCCCCTCAATGCCCACTGCCATTAAAAGGTTTCAAATTTCTGCCTTGTTTCCAAAGCAGCCAATTGCCACTTGCCTTCAGGCCTTGCCACCAGCCAATTGGGCGTACAGGACAGAGGGAGTCAGGAGAGAGGTCAGGGATACACTCATGACAATCACATGATCTGAGCTGACCACGGTGGTGCAGCAGCACAGCAGTGCTGAAGCAGCCACAAATTCCCCAAATTTCAATCCCACAGGAGTAATGGTGCCCAGATGTGGGATACATTCTGTAGGTTAGCCCATCTGAGGTACCTTGGTTCAAAAATTGTTGCACTATGATGCACCGTTTTGCCCAGTTGAAGGTTACAGACACAAGAGTTTTAGTAGTATATAGATTGATTCATATGTAACAGGGAAGATTGTTCTTTTCAATGAAAACTAATTAGAACAGTACAAAGATGACAGAAATGATACTGGAGTTTCATGTACCCTTCAGGGAAATTATTCTTATCCCAGAAAAATGTTTAGGAATGAATTAAAAATGTTTGCATGCCATTGCAAAAATTCCTGATGTTTAAAAGGACAGTGGGTCAAGCTTCAAGACTGTAAATGAGGTAGGTGAAATTGTTCTTCATTTACCTTTGCCAGATAAAATGAGTCATTGGGCTAAGTCATTCTCCCCAGGGGCCTTTCCAAAACTGAATCTGGGAGCCTATGATTGCATTAATCCCCCTGAGAGTGAAGGAATAAAGGAATTGCCATGAAAAAAGTATTAACTTTTCATCTCATGCTCCACTTCTAATTAGTCAAGTGAAAAAGCTGAAAAGAATCCAAATCCCAGTCCAAACCATCCAAATTAGAACAACAATAGGTTAATAATTATTAATTAGAATAATATTGCGGCAAAAAGATCTTGCAGCAGCTAATTCATACAATACGATGAAACCATAAAAGAGGGCATCTGCTGTGGGACCAAGGTCTCCTACACCAGATATCCTCAATCTGGTGTTCTTAGATCATTCCCAACATTTATGAAGGCTGTTGCTAGTAAGAGTTGTAGACCAATGCATCACTCATGTATTACTATAGGTCCATTTTACACTTCCAGAAAAAGTAAGTATTGTGGACCATTCCAGATGTCCCTACTCTATTACGTTTGAATGAGCAAAAGGAGCTTCTGTAGAGATGGAAGCAGAGAATGGTAACAATGAAGAAGACAGATAAAGCATTATCCTTTGTCAAACTTGTATCACCTCCTTTTCTTTTGAACCCAAAAGGTAAAGAGCTGGATTGTTACTTTCTAAACTGCTGATGGTGAGAAATGGTTATGGGAACTCAGCTTTCTTTCAAATAATTTCATAGCCCAGTTGGTGGTGTCTGCAATGTGATTGCATGATTTACTTCCGTTTGCTGTATAGGTATGTGTATGATGAGAGGCAGCCCAAAGCTGGTAGTGAAATGTAAAGGCTCAGCTCCTTACTCTTTTCTACGTGCTTTGGCTAAAGTAGGTCATGTGACATGGTTGTCAGTGCCTTACTAGTACAGAAATAATTTATTTATACACGATTGAGTAGGATATCATAGAGGACACTCTCTTGGACGTATAGTTTGGGGTATTCAAATTTGATTGTAGTATTCAGCATCCTAATTCAATTACATTTAGAATGCCTTATTATTTTCCTGAAAGATTATAATTTTTATTAGAAAAAATATTGCTTTTGATTTATTTGTGATCATTTCTATAAGAAATAATTATTATCCTGTGAGCAGGATATCACAGAGAGACATTATATAGGGTCATCGTACACTTAGTTTTAGATTCAGCATGATAGCAACTTTTTATTAACTCGTTTTCTTGACTGAGCTCTGTTACAAATTTCACACAAGTAAGGAACAACTGGGAACAACTACCAGCTTCAGTACTATTTAACTAAGAGCCAAGATCACATGACTTTTCATAGAACTCATGCGAATTCATGAAGATCTGTGCCTCACAGTGCACTCAAAATGTTGGCTCCTTGACTATAATGGTGCACTGCATATTGTGAGAGGTGCTTTTTAATTTGGTAATGGTTCCACAAGGATGCCATGTTAAAATCATATGAAACAAATAAGATCCATGGTGGTGCCCCAAATGATTGGATGAATGATTGCTTGGGTTCAATGAAACACAATCTATTATTTGATGAGAGCTTTGTCCAGTCACTGTGAAACTGATTGGGCTGGGCTATATTAAATCTAATAAATAAAAAGAGCAACAACCATTTTCTTTTCGTAATGATATATTTCTAGATTGCATGAGTTTACAAGAACTCAGAGAAGCAGTTACTATCCAATGTGATGATCACGAGGAGCCAGAAACATCAATCTGGCTATCAATACCAGAAACCTTACTAACTATACAGATACAGGTTAGGGAGGCTGTGATAATAATCACACTTGTCTTCTTGTAGGCATTACCAACTTTTCTGAGACAAAGGTAAGACCTGAGTCCCATTTGGTTCTTCTTTCTATTCAATGGTATCATCTTTACCTGGACATTGCATAGTCCATTAAACAGTGTGGGCCCTTTCCCTACCAAGTTTCAGCAGGTTAATTGTTGCTATTCAGCTATAGAGACATCTCACAAAGAGAAGCAAAGTCCCAAGTGTTCCATTTGTCTAAAGACCACTTTCTTAGGAGAAACAGAGAGATCTATTGTCTTCTTGGGCTTGGGAGTTTTATTTATTTATTGTGGGTATTATTACTGTATGCTACTCATTTTGGGAGAGCCAGTTAAGGCATCAGGCTAGAAACTGGGAGACTGTCAGTTCTAGTCCAGCTTAGGCACAAAGTCAGCTGTGTGTCCTTGGGCCAGTCACTTTCTCTCAGCCCTAGGAAGGAAGCAATGGCAAACTGCAGGGACTTGTCCAGGCGGCCTCCAAGAATCAGACACGATTGAACGGATAAAAAAATAAGACTCATTTTGTAGGAAACATGTACTTGTTGAAAAAGAAAAGCCGGTGCATATTGCTGACAAAAGCAAGTTGATCCTGTTCACATTGAACATGCTCACATGTTCATTGTGATCTATTAGAAAACATGGATGTGTAAGGTACAAAGGCAGTCTGAAGTATCGATGTGATATGAGGTAAAGATTTCCTCCCCTCCCACAATGTGCTTAAATCGGTTATTCAAATAGAGTACTGCAAATTTCTATGGAAATCACACTCATTTTATTGTCTTGGCTTGACAGCTGGATTTTAGAAGCACTGATCAATATGAGGTCAAAATGTTCAAGCAGCACTCAAAACTGAACACTCCTTTTGTTTTTTGAAAAAAAGTTTTGAGACTGCAGTGTGAAATCTCAGCTTTGTCAATTGCCAAGATGTTTCTTTCCAGAGTCGTGTATTATATTGTAAAGAACACACCTGTGATTGCACCACACTTACTGGAGTTCTATGACTTTCAAATTCTTTGTAGGAATCTTTTTGTTTTCTTAAGTCAGACAAGCAGCAGGACTGTAGGAAAATAAGGACATCTCCCTTGTTGCTCTCTTACCGGGTGGGGATATTTTGTTCTGTGGTTTGTCTGTTCCGGCTGCATACCTAAAGGCTTGTATAGCACCCTAGCCCTGTTCCGTGTGCTCTTCGGTTTGCGGTGAGCAAGTGAGAAATATACGGCATGCCCACTCATGTCTTTAAATCCTTGGGTTTTCCTTTACATTTCACTGTATTTCAAGTCGATTGAAAATAACTCTAAGGAGGCTTGTGTCCTTAGCATACTAGAGAAAGCGCTGCTTCTTTAGTGGGTTGTCTGAGTTTAGTTCCCGTTGGCATAATGTTGTCAGCCGGTTCTACTGACTCATAGCTTATACCCATGTTGCAGTTGGCTTACTAGTTAAACGTAAACTGTGCCGGCTTTCAGTGTCAGCTCCGCGGCTCAGCTTTCCGCCGGAGACTCGCAGCGAGCAGGAGCCTTTGACCCCGCGCCGTCTTTCGGGCGACCCCCTTTGCCTTCTTCAGCAATCCTCCCTTTTAGCTCCCCCACCCACGCAATTAACATGCAATTAGTCGCGCGCGCTGCCCCCGAGGCACGCACCGTCCCTCTCAGCCCCTGTTCACTTTCCTCCAGTGCGAGGCGAGCCGACGGAAGAAGCCCCTCCCTCTGGCCACGCCTCGGGCGGACTGTCTCGTCGCTCCCCCCTGCCCGCCTCCTCTCAACAATAGCCCCCTCTTCGCGCAGGCTAGCGCCACTGAGGCACGTTTCGGCTTTGCCCGCTGCCGGCGAGGGCGCCCTCGACCCGTCGCCCTTTACTTTTCACTCTTCCCGCGGGGACACCTGCCGGCTCTTCGCAGCCGGGTTCCCGACTAAAGGTCCCTGCAGAACCATTCACGTTTCCTTTCTTCGGCCATTGACAATTCCGAAATCCCGCCCTCCCGTCCGCCGGCTTCACCATTCACAAGTCCCATTCATAGGTTGGCTCGACACCACACACCGAGACACGCGCACCGCCCTCCTCTCTCTCCTCCTCCCTTCAGCCACACGCCCACCCTCAGCCTCCCCCCTCCAGCAAAGGGGCACAAGCCAGCGCTGGGTGCTTCGCTCGACTGCCAAGCTGCTCTGATCTCCTTCCCCGGGGCTGAGGCGAAGGAGACCCCCCCCCCCGCTTCCAAACAAAGGGATTTGGCCGGCGCACGAGGCGAGAGC